AGCAATGCCAGCTCCAATGCGAGCACTGCAAGCAACAATAACATACAGTTGATTAACAAGGCCCAACAGTGTCCGGGTCCCTTGCCACTGGGCGTGGCCGTCATTGACATGTCCGTCACTCTATATGGCACCATTTTCCCAAAGGTAGCGAACAAGCATCGCCTACAAATGCTGGACCATTTCGCCGAGTGCATCAAGCAGGCGAAGAGCAACCGCCAGGAAGCCATCCAGATGAACATTTTCACGGCTCTGCTGTATGCACTGAAACAGCTGACGGATAGCAAGACGAGCCTGGGCCAAGAGGATGTCAAGAAGAGCGCCACCAGTCTGATTGTCGCCTCGTTGACCAGCTCCAATTCAACCATACGCTGTGCAGCTGGCGAGGCGCTCGGCCGTTTAGCCCAGGTTGTGGCCGACTCCCATTTCACCGCTGAACTGGCGCAGAACAGCTTCGACAAGCTGAAGTCGGCGCGGGATGTGGTCACGCGCACTGGACATTCGCATGCTCTGGGATGTCTTCATCGCTATGTGGGCGGCATGGGCAGTTCACAACATCTGAGCACCAGTGTCTCCATATTGCTCGCTTTGGGACAGGACAGCTCGTCGCCTGTGGTGCAAGTCTGGTCACTCTATGCTCTGGCCCAGATCGCTGATTCCGGCGGTCCCATGTTCCGTGGCTATGTGGAGCCGACATTGACGCTCTCGCTGAAGCTGCTGCTCAGCGTGCCACACGCCCATGTGGATGTGCATCAGTGCGTAGGCCGGGTGGTCAATGCATTGATCACCACTGTGGGACCGGAACTTCAGGGCAACAACACGGCCGTGGTTGCAATGCGTAGCTCCTTCCTCTGTGCAGCAGCATTGCTGCAATCACATGCAGATCCCTTGGTGCAAGCAGAAGCAATAGGCTGCCTGCAGCAACTGCATTTGTTTGCCTGTAAATCTCTGCAGCTGGACACGCTCGTACCGACCTTGGTCAAGATGCTGGCCAGTAATTATTTCATCTTACGAAAGGCTGCCGTCGCCTGTCTGCGTCAGCTGGCGCATCGCGAGGCGCGTGAGGTGTGCGAGCTGGCCCTAAGCATTACACCGGAACAGTGTCCAGATTTAGTCATTACGGAATATGGCCTGCCCGGACTGCTCTTCTCGATGCTTGACACGGAAACGGATGTGGAAATGCTCAAGAATATACACGACACGTTGACCTCAATGCTGCAAATGCTGGCTGCCGACAATCTGAGCAACTGGCTTAGTCTCTGCAAGAAGGTGCTCACTGTGGCCGTCGAGAGTGGCAGCTCGAGTGAAGAGCAAGCGGCGCAGGCCGGCTCAGCGGATGCCGGCGGCAAGTCCGGCTCAGGCGACGCACAGCAGACGGACGACGACGATGACGAGGAGGAGGAATACGCCGATGATGTAACCGAATATCGTGCCGAGGAAAATACCTCCACGCATCCAGCTGTGCAGCCGCGTTGGCCCACCCGAGTGTTTGCCGCCCAATGCGTTCGTCGCATCATCGCCAGCTGTGAGGCAGCAAATGCGCTGCACTTTGATCTGCTGCAGGCCAAGGAGCAGCAGCTAATCAAGTCGCGCAGCGGCGATTATCTTATACTGCATCTGGCTGAGCTCATACGCATGTCCTTCATGGCTGCCACCTCGGACTCGGATCAACTACGGCTGGAGGGTTTGCGCACTCTGCAGGAAATCATAGATAGATTTGCAAACGTGCCAGAGCCAGAATTTCCAGGTCATTTGCTCCTGGAGCAATACCAGGCACAGGTGGGCGCAGCCCTACGTCCGGCCTTTGCACCCGACACGCCATCCCATGTGACCGCTGCTGCCTGCGAGGTTTGCTCCGCCTGGATCGGATCGGGTGTGGCACGCGACATTAGCGATTTGCGGCGTGTGCATCAGCTGTTAGTCAGCTCGCTGAGCAAGCTCTACACGAAGACGAACAGCACGCAGCTGTACAACGAGTCAATGGCGACGCTGGAGAAGCTCAGCATACTCAAAGCCTGGGCGGAGGTGTACATTGTGGCCATGCTGAGCAATGGCAAAGCGCCCGCCTCGCTGCTCACCGTCTCGCCAGCTGGCACAGCCACAGAACTGGTCACCGGAATCGAGTTGGATACGGACAGCCGTGGTGAGAGTTTACTCAGTCTGGTGCAACCGGAGCTGCATAATCTGTCCAATCACTGGCTGGCTGCAATGAAGGATCATGCGCTTCTGCTATTGCCTGCCGAGTTTCAATCGCAGTTGCCGCGGGACGGTGGTTCCTTCTACACCACAGACACCATCAATTCGTCCAAGCCGCACTACATGACCAGTTGGCCGCCCATTTTGTATGCATCGGCGTTGTGGCTGCGTGACGAGGGGTTTGCCCGCCATCAGGACACTCAAAGTCCGTCGGATGCCAGCAATGCAGCTGAACCAGAGTCGAATAATAATCAAATTACACACGGCTCCCTCTCTGCGGATCGCTTCCACATGATCTTTGGCATCTGCATGGAGGCGCTGTGCAGCATGCGCAGCTCGGATAAGCCACGCAACATTGTCAGCTGTTTGCGTGCGCTGCACAGCATCTTCGATTCCGATTGGGCGCGCCGGCAGCTGATCAAGGATCGTGCCTTGACCATTGAGCTATGCCATGTGCTGCATCGCCAGATACTCACACGGGACGAGCTGCTCGTACAGCTGCTGTGCGTGGAAATATTGAAGCAAACAATACAAGCAGCACGCGAGGATCTAGAACGAAGGCGGGACACTCAACAGCAGCAGCAGCCCGCAGATAATGCATATGAGAATCAGAATGACAATGAGGATCTGCAGCTGGGCGAGGGCAGCGTAATGCAGCCGGGCAGCTCACATGTCTATGCCGTCCTAGAGGTCTGTCTGTGCCTGTTTGTGCGCCAAATACCCAGCCTCAATCCCAGCAAGCAAATCAACCTTCAGCTGGACTATGCGTACGCCAAGAATGCCTCATTCTTCTCTGTGCTCGGCGATGAGAATGGTCGTCTTGTCGCCATTGGACTGCAGTGCGTCGAACAGCTCCTAGAGCTGTGCACGCCTAGTGGCGCCCTCACCATACTGCCCACCATACTCTACATGACCACGAGCATAATGCGAGAGATAGCCAACAAGTCGGCCATCGATAGCAGCATTCTGGCCAACACCTGTGCTGTGCAGGCAGCGCTGCAATGTCTGCGCTCTGTGTGCGTCCATCGCTGGGCCCATCATGCAAGCACGCAGGAGGAGTGGCAGCAGCTGCTGCAAAGCGCCTTGGCCACCATTATTGATATGACCAAGACGGCGGGTGATAATGAGGAGCGTAAAGTAGATGAGGTCACCATGCTGCTGGCCATTGCTGTATTCATTCTGCACACGCCCGCCTCTGTAGTGGGCACACCCTCGCTGCAATATCCTTGCATTAATCATTTCCGGCAGTGCCTGCAATCGGAGCACTTGTCCGTCAAATTGAAATGCATTGAGACGACGCGTTCCATTTTCACAAAGGCGGACTTAAAAACAGCCACGCCCTACATACATGCGCTGGCACCGCGCATCATTGAATCCCTGTACTCCGAGTCCAGCAAAACGCCGACCAGCGAACTGGAACTGCAAGTGACCCTCGAAAGCATTGTGACCGTGGAGCAACTCATAGACCTTGCCGAGCCTCAAAATCGTAAGTAGCAACCATTATTTAAATAAATGATATCTGAGGTCTGTTCCGAATAGATAATACTGATAAAAACGGACTTTGGGCTAGGTTAAATCTGCGTTGAATAATGGGTTTCAATAGGTTTTAAAATAGAAATACACTTTTTAAGCTTCTAAAATAATTAAGCTAAAATATAGATATTTATATTTAAGCAGATCTAGGCTGGATTAAATGAGAATAACAATATTTTCCAAAGATAGTGGACAGTTAATCATTTATTCATGAATCTTGAATTGAACACAAAGTACAATCCTGTTAATTAAAAAATATCAACAAAATATTGACATTCGGGGCAGACCTGTAGAAAGTGCAACTAGTGCGTCCCTCTCCCAATTACTGCTGTACGTTTTCAAATAATGCATAGAGCTGCCAATGGGCACCGAGTTTGTAAGCGTCGTCAAATAGTACCGTTCGTTTTTTATTCATTCTGCTCTTTTTCTCTACGTCTCTTCTCTTATAATTGCTTCACTCATTATTCACACATATATTTGAAAAAAAAAAAAAAAAAAACGTTAGGAAACTTGCTACAAGGTAAATAGCTGCGCCCATTCACCTGTTTCTTGTTTGCACTCTGAATGTAAAAGCACATCTATATGCACTAACTCTAAATATATATACATATATATTTATATATGTATGTTACTTTTAATATATGTATTAAAACAATTGTAGTTATTATCTGTAGCTGCAAATTTGCATAATTGCGCTTTAAATGTCGTTACACACTGCATGCGATTACCGTTGTTGTTATCGATATCGATAGCACGCACAGATAACAGTTTACTCAACCAAGCTGTGTTATCCTTTGTGTTTTTCATAATCATTGCTGTTGATTTATCTCAATAATTTTGAATGCATTTCACAGATATACAAATGCTGACACTTCTGGTACCCGTGCTCATTGGCTACCTGGCCGAGCCAAACAAGCTGCGGACGTTGCCCAAATACCAGCGGCAGCTGCATGAACAGTCCCTAAATTGGCTGCTGAAGATCGGTCCCAAATACCCGCAGGAGTTCAAGGCGTTGATGGGCCAAAAGGCCGAACTGCGACAGAAACTGGAGGCGGCCATACGTAACCAACAGCAATCAATTAATCTAGCCCAAAAGGCCAATGAGGCGCAGCGCAACGGTTTGCTGGCCAAGCCGCAGAAGCCGACGATCAAGCTGAAAACCGATTTTAGTAACTTCCAATAACTAAAATAAACCCTCAAATCCTTGTATGCTTGTAGCGTGCTTCATTAAAATTGCTTTTGTTGCTATTAACGTAATAAGTACCTAAAGAATCTAAATTGCATAAATACGACGTATATTTAACTTTTAAGGGCTACTCCCACATATGATAATCGGTTTTGTTGGGAATGCAACATATTGTTAATTATATATATATATATATATATATATATATATATATATATATATATATATAAATAAACACGATATAAGTTATATAACCTATTAGAAACGTGTAAGCTTCTCTATTCGCAAGATAGTTCCTGCTTAACATTCGGCTCGTCCTTAAACTCGGATTTAAGACTCTTATGCGACTGTGACATGCGGCTCAGTTCTTCGATTTGTTCGCGGGCAATCTTTTGAGAGTCTGAATCGCTTAAGTTTCTGAACGATTCGTAGCTCTTCAGGTTTCCCTTTCGATGCTGTCTGGATGGCGAAGGAGCAGATTTTATTGCCGAACCATATTTAACAGCTGGTCGCGGCAGTGCCATTAAGGCCGATGGAAGCTGCTCAAATGAAGAAGGTTCCAGCCGACTTAATAGTGTGGTGGTATAGAAGAGAGTGCGTAAGCGTTGCCGAAATAGCTGCACTGCTGACTTCGATTCATCATAGTCGACGGGAAGTTTCAACTGCGATCCAATTTTCGAATGATTGCGCCAATCCACTGACAATATGCACATGGCACGGAAACCCATCATTGTGGACCAATTAGGCGGCAGCAGCAATGGCGTTGTAGATGATTCACTTGCCTCCAAGGCCGGCAATTGATGCAGCATCTTGCTGTAGAATCGGTTTAGCTGCTTGCTCAGTGTGACGCTCTGGACCAAGGGGTTGGCATTGGATGGTGGCCGGTAGCGCAACGCATTGGCCACTACGTAAAGATTCCGTTCGTTACGTGGAAGCGGGATTGGTGCTGGCGGGGCATCGAGTTTTAAATTATAAGAATACTTGAAGTACTCGTAGATGTCTGAGTCAATGCCGCGTAATGGCTCCATAATCTTGACATTAATGGCCGATTTCCGCATCTTTCGTTTCGGCTTGTGAACGGGATTTACGACCAGTGATTCTGGATCTGCTTGCCATTCTTGCCAACGCTGAACCCAATTCTCGGCGGTTACTGGAGCATTTTTTTTTACCTTGCGGCGTGGTATGTCACTCACCGTCGCCTCCGGATGTTGCTCAAGAAACCGCTTGATGACCAGAAAGCGTGTACGACAGCTGGTACGTGTGTGATTGCCCAAGTGATTGGCACACTTCACCCACTGCGAGGTACCGTGCTCGGTAACAAAACTCATTAGCTTTGTGTCGTCTTCCATGGACCACGGATCTGTTTTATTGCGCTGTGCCAGCACGTTGTTATATCGTGTACGCAGCTGCGCCAGCGAACGATTCGGAAACAAAGTACGCGGGAAACAATTGAATTTGCCATTGTACTCCTCGTAGGCAGCGAACAGCATTAGATCCTCACTGGGTGTAAAAGGCTCTGAAAAGACATATATTACTCAATGATAATCAGAGAATCATATTTATTATACCGTGACTGATGCTGGGATGCAACACATATATATAGCGTCCAATTAATGTCGATCGCGATCTGCCCGGAAAATGCTCGACAACTTGCGACCAGTTAGTCAACCCATTCACAGTATTTCGCTGGACAACAGCACGCAAACGTTCATTATCCTCATAGCCCCATCGCATCGCACTTGTGGGCTCCAAGTGAAAGCGCATCGTTGTCTGCATGCGCACAAAGCACTGATAGTCGGAACGTTGACCCACTGCAGCCGCTATTGCTTGCCAGTTTTGTAGCTTGTTGGCTTTAGCCGCTTCCAGCAAAGCTGTATCCTCCTCAGGTGTCCAATCGTCGCGCTTTAGCTTAGGCTGCAAATACACTAGCCACATGGCCTCACAGCTGTAGGAGGAATGACGATGCTCGAGATCCAGTGTGCTAATTTGATGCCAGTCGATGCTGAAATTGCTATCAACATTAGCTAACAAACTGGCCAATGTTTGTGCATGCAGATCGACGTATTTCCGTTTGCGATCAATCATTTTGTTGGACGCCTTCTTCGCTGCAGCGACCTGGTAGCTGGTATACTCTAACAGCTTTAAGGTTTAAGACATGTATGTATTTAAGCAACAATCGAACTATTTTTTACACTTGCTTACCTGCTGCTTTATTCCCATGACGATGCCCTTTTTGTCCAAAACTGTCCATACGTGCTTTGAGCGCATATCGAAATCGGTAGGAAACATTTCGGTGTTACAACGCCGCTCATAGTCCTCATTGTTGGGACAGCTACGTCCATCGTTGTCGCGAAAGTATAGATTACCCTTAAAACGAAACGTCCCGCCACGCAGCAATTCCCCGCTCTTTCCCACGTTTTCAACTCCGTTTGCTGTTACACAATGAGAGCGTGGATTCTGGCGTCGTATGAGAGTCTGTTCATTACGTTTGTAACGACCGCGCACTATCTCTAACAGCTTCAATATACGTCTGCGCACCTGTTCCAGGCGTCGCTGAAGTTCTAGATTCAATTGCAGGGCGTTTGCATCGCTTCTCTCGGTGCTAGCTGCCAACAGCGTCGTAATTTCCTGCAGCAACTGTTGATGACTTATTTCAATATCGTCCACATCGCTCATCGTACAAAACTAATATTCAACTTCATGCATAAGCAATATTTCAACAAAAAACAAAATAACTCGGCAAGTCCCTTTAGGGGTGAACATCGCTGCTCGATAATTATCGGTGTTGAAAGCAAAATCATCAACATATTAATATCGATGCTGAATGGATGAATATCGATATGGGGCTTTCAATTATATCAACATAGATATTTTTATAATACTTATGCGAAATTTCAATCATATTGAAGCCATTCATGAAAATAGGTTCAAATATCGAGTATCCCCAGTTCCTATTCAGTAAAAAACCGACACACAGAGAAATTGTAAACACTATTCTTTGATCTCAAATAAGCTGAATTTAAAAGTAAATAGATTTTAAAATTAAATTGTAATTAATCATTAAAACTCACTTCATTTGAAAAACAAAAGCATATATTTCAGGCGTTACATATTTTACGTTTTAACGGCCTTCATCGATAGATAACCAGTGTGTACAAATAAAACGTAAAGGCTTATCGATTGCTGCTTGCATATTATCGTTTTGCGAAAACAAAAGAGAACTAAGAGACGAAAAAGCAACAAAAACACGGAAAGTCACAAAAAAAGTGCGTAGCAATTAAGAGTCAATTAATAAAATTCGCCGTGTATGCGCCTATGACGAGTGCAGGCCAAAAAATATGGATGATGTCCCCGTCAAAATAGTCGAACGCTATAAACCACCACCCCCAGTATACCAATTGCCCCCGACTATTGCGAATCGTTTGGCCCAATACAGAGACAACTACTATGCGGAAGAGCAGGCATTTCACTATGACTACCAGCTGGAACGAAGTGTACTCAGCAAGTGCCAACACTGGCGTCGCATGCGTCAGCAGCAGCAGCAGGCGCGTCAAATGCGGCTGGAGCAGCGCAAACAGGAACGTCAGCGTGCGCTTGAGGCTAAACAAAAGGAAATGCTTGGCGCTGTTGAATACCCCAGTGCAGCGGAGTTGTCCTCCGATAGCGATGATGATGAGTTAGCCATAGAGTCGCCAACAGCAAAAACCGCAGCAGCAGCGGTCCCTATAACAACGACCTCAACAACGTCAATTAGCGACGCTGAGTCACGTGAGAAACTCAAACCAAAGTCGATGAGCTCGTGTAATTTCAATAATATTCTGCAACCCACCATACTGAGCAACGCCGCAACAGCAACACCAGCTGTTACACACCATAAACGCAACAGCTCATTAAACTATGCAGATTTTGAGTACAATATGAACTCGACGCCATTCGATAATATTGAGATGAAGACGATCAATGATTTGGATATACTGGCGCAGGTGCTACACCAGACACAATTGACTCAAAAGCCACTTGCATCAAACGAGGCGGAACAGATAAGCGAGCCGGAGAATAAAAACGAACAGCAGCAGATGCAGCCGGAACTGGAGCTGGCTGTTACGACCCTGGCCGAAACCAAAGCGACGCTAGACAGCGTCAATTTCCAAGTACACTGTGATGATGCCCAAGGCATTCCAGCCATGTACCCAACTCCCTTGTATAACACTCCTACTCAGCAATCGCAGCAGCAGCAACAACAACTCGTCTATCCACACATGGTCTACAATCAGCACTATTATCCTCAGCAGCAGCAGCAGCAGCAGCAGCAGCAAATTTATCCCAATCACAATTACTTGCAGCATAGCTATATCAATGGCTATAGCACACCCACTCAACTACCCCAATCGGTGGTGCCGCCGGGTAACAATATTAGTATGCTGTCACCGAACACGTCGGAAGCAGATTTAAAATCGAGGAGCGTGCCTGACATACTACGAGAATTAAAAACGGAGCTGCAGCAAGCGGAAAAGCGTCGCATCCGTCTGTACAGCCACAATGAGGATGAACAGCAGGCCTTGGCATTAACTCAGCCCCAACTGCCACAGCAACTGTCCAACAGCCAGCAGAACAATGCCAACATATTCCAAGAGCTGACTGTGCCGGCACAGAAACTAGCGCAGCGCATCAGCTCCATGGGCTTCCCGCTCGAACGAGTGGCAAAGGTGGTGAGCCTGTGTGGCATCGATGATAAAAAGGTACGTTAGTATATCCTAGGCAGAGTATATGCCATGTCTCATTGATTGATTTATTGCTTTTACATACCATTTAGATAATCGAGCACCTCATTCCATTGGGCGAGTTAATGGATCTCGGATTCGAAGAAACAAAAATCTCGGCGGCTCTTTTGAAATTTAATAACAATAAGGACAAAGCATTAGACTATTTAATTAAGTAGTTCAATTCAATTAATTTGATATGATGGCCGCCCCGGCGCTCCAAGCAGCTAGAGGCGCGGATTCCAATACAAGCATCCCCACTATATACTGCAAACGTATTTTTGTTTATTTGCATAAATAATTGGAGCTACCACAAAACATAATGCTAAATCGCTTAAGTGTACATAAATATATATATTATATATGTGTGTATATATATTCATATATATAATATATGCTTTAATATATGCATATACTTTAGAAAACAGCAGAATAAATACAGCTGCTTATTGCTAAGCGCTCGACATAGTTCAATTCATGCCCAACATTAGTAGATTTATAGCATGCTCGACATTGCCGTCGGCCAGAGTCAAGTAGTTAACATTTTGGGTGTGATTTATGAAGCCCATTGCTGCCATGGTGCGCAACTGTTCGGTGAAGCGATGTCGGCGATAGCAACGAGGCAGCACATCGCTGTCATCGCCAGCATCATCATCATCATCCTCGGGCTCATCGACAGCTGCAGCCGATTCACTGGTATCTGTGGCTCCTGACTCCATGTCCATGTTCTCCACAGCTGAAGAAGGCGGTTGCTGCTGCAGTGACTGAAAAGCCCGTGCCAGCTCATTGCGCAAGAGTTCTGATGAGATGGCAGCAGCACTGCCACCTGTAGTGCCAACAGCAGCTGTACCACTGGCAGCAGCCGATGTGCTGGTGCGAGGTCGTTCATCGCTGAGTGCCTCATCTACATTACGTTGAGCTATGTTTGACAACGAGTTAAAGGAGCTCATGTCGACGCGGGCCAAAGCATTAGCCAACTGTTGGCGACTGATCTGTCGTATGTTGGCCAGTTCATCTCTACGATTGGCTGCTAGGGTAGCAGCTGCTGTGCTGCTGCTACCACCACTGCTGCTGCTGCCGGCACCCAAAGAGTTCTCTTCCTCCGATGAGGTTGTGGACTCTGAGGCAGCTTGTTCCTGAACTAGAAATGAAAATGTCATAATCAGGCATGAGAGAATTCCAATTCAGTGAAAGCACTTACACTGCGTGGCAGAACTGTTACGTGCCAATTCCTTACGTATGGTATCGACTATAAATGAAGCTGCATCACAAATTAAAGGATAATCTCGCACCAGATTCTGCACCACCTCCGGCTCATGAAGCATATTGAACAGCACCGAGTCGCGAATCAGAGCCTGAGCACCCAAATTACGCCGAAATTCTGGATACTCAGCTAAGATTTTTTGTAGTATGTTAAAACGGGATGTGACACTGATTTGCAAGTGTGAAGTCAGTGAAAATAGCTCCTGTATGTGCTTAGTGTTGATATCGCTGGCGGCAGGCGGCTCGTATGGTGTATACGATTTCATTTTACGGAAACAATGAACAATAGCGTTTGGTTTCATTGTGCTTGAAAGCTTGCAGTCGTCGTTGAGCAGCTTGCCCAAATAGCATATATCTGCATTGAAGAGCACACAATGAATTGGCGTTATTGCTTATACTAAACGTGTACACACATATATAGTATATAACTATATACATACCAAGTTCATTGGCATCGAACTGCAACTGCAGCTGCTCGGTAATGATCTTCTTCAAGTATGCCACATCCTGTTCCATATCAATATTGTGCACGGGATAAAAGTCACTCAACTTATTTTTAACATGCACACCAGCGTATACAGTACTCGTAGTCATTTTCGTTTTGATATATTTTTCTACTTCTTGTATTCTGTATGCTTTGTTTTGAAATTTATTTGCAACTGCGACTCGTCGTCTCGTAAAGTGCGTAGCGATTAACGATAACTGGTATGCAATATATCGAATATACATACGCAGAGCAGTGTTGCTCTACTTTTGAAATATAATGATCGTCCAAGTCGTTATCGATTGATTTTGAATATTCAGAATTTTAGACTTGTTTTTCTGTACACTTTTTTGTTTGTTTTTTTTTTTTTTTTTTTTTTTTTTTTTGAAATGGCTAGCATTGAGACTCAAACGGAGAGTTCGCGATTGCAAAGGCATAATATCAAAAGAACATCGGAAGCTCAGAAAGCTTTAATTCCGAACCAAGATAGCGAAGATCTAACTATTAAGTCCTGTGAATTTGAAATTTTCGGTATTGTGCACGGTATGTCATGACAGTAGACAATACTATGAAAATTATGTGAAATTAATAGTTATCCAATTGCAGATGTTTCATTTCGACATGTAAGAAATGTCTTTAATTGATTGTCCCTTATTACGTTAATAATTTAATTAGTATACATTGAGACGGGCTCAAAAGCTTAGCATTCGCGGATGGTGCATGTATACCCAGCATAAAACAATTAAAGGACTGATACAGGGGTACACAAAAAGCTTCGAAGCTATGTAAGTTGTCAAATAAAAACAAAACAAAACCATTATACCCTGATTTCCCATTTTCAATGGGTTCAGGGTATAAACAGACATTAATGATGAACTTTTAGGCGTATTTGGTTAAGATATACTGGTAGCCCGACTAGCCGTATTGACAAATGTGTATTTGGCCCAACAGAGGAATTGAAATATTTTTCCTACGATGCCTTTACCATTCTCAACTTTTTGCAACAGCAATAAAACCGGCTTATCACATTCAACTGCGTAGTGTGACCGTTTCATGATATTGGCAAAGAGTAAATTATATGGGGACACTGATTCACCAAAGTGCAACGCTGCGTGATATACAATCAAGTAAACCAAACGGCATTGCAGTTGAAATCGTTTCGCTCATCGCGGCCCGTGACCAAACAATAAAAACAACCTATTCAATAGAATATTCTGTACAGCAAACATTTGGAATAAGCATTAAATAAAGTGTGCATTGAAATAATAGCTACATCACATGAGTGAGCTGATTGCCACTTTCAACACGCGCAAGACTTTCACTTTTTTTCCTGAGACGATAAATGAAAAGAAAAAACAACAACAATTACCAATCTACACAAATAAGAGCGCAACACCTAGGAGGAAAAAATGAGAAGACAAGCGGGTAGACAACAGCATAGCTAGATACCTAACTGAAAACGCGACGATATAGATATTTTGTTAAAAATAGTGCATAATAATAATAAACCACAGAAATGCAACAGCAGCAACAGCGATAACAACAATAACAAAACCCCTGCATGGCTGTGTGAGTGTGTAATTTGGCATGTATATACATGCGTGCCTATGTGTATGTGAGTCAGTACGTGTATGCAAGGGATAAGAAATTAACCAAAAAGCGGACTATCAATTTGTCTCTCTGTCTGTCTGCATTTGTCTGCCTGTGTGTGTGTGTGCGTGTGTGTGTGTCTATACATGTGTGCGTGCTTGTATTTGTATGTGTATGTACGTGGAGTACAGATTTGGGTCAATTTAAAATTGTGAGTGAAAACATAAACTTCATTGCATTTTTGCTAAAAAAAACACATCAAGTATCACAACATGGACAGCAGAATACAAACGACACAACAGCAACAACAATCATCTCGGAATTCGCAGCTCACTGTCAATCTGGGCGGTCCAAATGCCACTAGTTCTACAGAATCCAGCGCACCACCACGCGTTGACATCGGTACGACTGGCGTCAGCAGTGGAAGTAGCAGCAGCAACAGCAACATAAATAATAACAAACGCAACAGCAATAAAAACAAGAACAACAATGGACATCAACGCAGCCATAGTATAACCAACGCAGCGGCCACATCGTTTGTAAATCTCTTCGATGGATTCACCTCACGTGTTTCGACGGCTGTAAGCGTTGCCGGCAGCATCACTACCAATGCCATGGAACGGAGTCATAGTGCAGCCAGTACGCCCAGCTCAACACATTCTGGAATTGGCGTGGGTGCCGGTTCGATAGCTAGTCTTACGAGCATGGGCTCGCTGGGTACAACAGCTAATGCATTTTACTCCTCAATAGGCAGCGCTCTCAATTCACTCACATCACCAATAACAGCAGCAGCGGCAGCGGCGACAGCAACCACAACAGAGGTGGTGGTAGCTGCAGCATCGGCCATCACAAATCATTTGAGTTCGCCTACCAGTGGCACACCCCCGCATGGTCTGGGCGTAAACGATGAGGACTGCGATGATAACGATGAGGAGGAGGAGGACGAGGATGATGCTGTTGACAATGATGGACATATAGCAGCGCCGACACCATCCAAAACGTGGGCTGAGATCAGATGTGTTGTCCAAGACATTCGCAAGGATCTGTCCAATCTATCGACGATGGTGCCCACCAATGTTCAGTTCCGTCATCTATCCGATGGCCGTGCACGGTGCTATTTCCTGAGTACACCGCCACACAACTGGGAGACCACGTTGCTCTTTACTGACATCAACCTGCGACAGCATGACGAACAGCAGCTGCAGCAGACCAGTGGCGTTGACATTGATGCTGCCACTGCCGGTAGTCCAAGTGGAGCAGCATCACCAACAATAAACCTTCCATCGTTTCATTTTGGTCCACAGCCTAAGCCCAGGTTTGAAAACTTGTTTCCTTGACTGCTGAAAATTGTATAAAACTTGGCTTTTCTTTCATAGATTGATTTGGCAAACACTACTCCAACAACCCATACCCAGCAGCCAAGTGGGAAGCGGCATAGGTGGAAGTGGTGGTGCCTATCCATGTGCTCGAGAATACCAATTGATGCAGGAGCGCAAGCGTTTGTCTACATGGGGTATTACATCGTATGAACTGCATAAGCCCAGCGGCAAATTGGTCTTTCCCTTGCTTAAACGATCTGTATCAATGCCTGGACACGGGATATAATGTGAGCAGTGCATGTGGAGCGTGCATTTAGTCATATATTAATACATGTTTTTATTGCTTTGCATTTATTTTGGCAGTCTGGTCTGCTTTTTCCCACACAACTGCGAACATGCCCCGAGTGGACGGCTTTGGATCCACTAAATCTGCCCACAGAACTCCGATCTGATTGCTCATATCAGTGACTGTGATATCTGGGTAACGCACACGCTAAGCGGTCATGAGAAACGTTTGACGTACACGAGAAGCGGCCGACACACGTTTGCGGATGATGCATTAAGCGCAGGAGTGCCATCGTATGTGATGCAAGAGGAGTTCAGTCGCTATCAGGGCTATTGGTGGCAGCCGCACTCAGATGATGGCATCTATCGTATTGTTTACGAGGAGGTAGATGAAACGGATGTGTCCCTTTACACATTCCCTTCGTCGACGGCTGTGCCTGGCGAGGTGGATGAGTATCGCTTTCCACGTAGCGGCACACAAAACGCCAAATCCAAATTGAAGCTTGTTCAATTTGTGCTCAACGAAGCGCTGCTAATTAGCGAGATAACCATCAAGGATTTACCCTATTCCTTGTCGGCGGTGTTTCCCTGGCTGGAATACGTCGTGCGTGTCGGCTGGACACCGGATGCCAACTAGTATGCGACAAATCTTGTGAGATATCAATATAGCACTGTACTTATATTCTATTTTGAATTCACAGCGTCTGGATGCAGGGTCTTAATCGCAAGCAGCAGCGCTTAGATGTTATGCTAATACCGCTGGATAACTTTTGCGAATCGTACAGTAGTCAAGTGTCCACGCCGACAGATTCCATTGGGGATCACAGCTGGCGCAGTCCATATAATCGCACAATAACGCCGCTGCAGGTCATATATACCGAGCAGTCAGAGAGCTGGATCAATGTGCATGATATGCTCTATTTTCTGGAAGTGGGTGATACGAGCGTCACCTATCTATGGGCCTCTGAGGAGACGGGCTTTAGACATTTGTATCTTGTCACCTCCAGCTTACTATTAACTCATGTCAATGGCAGCCAAACGGATGCGTCGGCTGCCGCAGCCGCTGCTCAGCATCCCAGTTTTGTGGAGGCAGCCGCACTGCAGCCACGCATCGTTAATAAGGTGGCCCTGACGAGCGGTGAATGGGAGGTGCTGGCACGTAATCTATGGGTGGACAAGCCCAATCAATTGGTTTATTTTGTGGGACTGCGCGATACTCCATTAGAGAAGCATCTCTATGTAGTTAGCTTGCAGCGTCCAGAGCACATACGTCTGTTAACCGAGCCGGGGTACTCATATCTGGTGGAGTTTGATGATGTAAGTAGTAGCTCCCCTTAAATGACCAAGTGACTGACGTAGTCTTTGTGCATATCCATTGATAGCTATGCCAGTTAATGTTGCTCGTCTATTGCAATATCCAACGCCTTCCAAGCTGCAAGGTGATGCGTGTCACGCAAACCTGCCAGAATGGCGGTGTCAATGGTATACAGATCTCTTTGGTTGGATTTTTGCATGAGGGCGGCAAGCCGGAACCACAATATTGCCCGCAAATCTTTCGCCCACAGCTGCCATCAGGCGATATCGTCTACGCCATGGTCTTTAAGCCTCACAACTTTCAATTGGGAGTTAAATATCCCACGGTGTTGAATGTCTATGGCGGACCAGAGGTGCAAACCGTTAACAATACATTTAAGGTAAGCTCCCACTATTCAATAAATTCTTTAAATAATCATAATCGCCATCAGGGCAAACATCAGTTGCGCATGCATATGCTGGCTGCCCAGGGCTATTGTGTGATCTGCATTGATTCACGCGGTTCCAGGCATCGTGGCATACGTTTCGAGAGTCATATTCGGGGTCGCATGGGTCAAGTGGAATTGACTGATCAGGTGGATGCCCTGCGCATACTCTCGGATCAACTGGGATACATTGATATGGACCGAGTTGCCATACATGGCTGGTCCTATGGTAGGGCTTGATGAAATCTATCAATTGCTATGTATATATATATATATATGTCTATATTATGTTCCCTCAGGTGGTTATTTAAGCTTGATGGGCTTGGTGCAGTATCCGGAAATCTTCAAGGTGGCCATTGCGGGAGCACCAGTCACGAATTGGGAATACTATGATACAGGCTATACGGAACGATATATGGATATGCCCAAGTGCAATGAAGCGGGATATACAGCTGGCTCGGTACTCAATTATGTGCATGCATTTCCCGACGAGTGAGTGTGAAGAATTGGCTGATTTTTCAGAGCGATATAATACTCCATCTATCTCTCTACTTTCTCTAGGGATAATCGACTGCTGCTCATTCATGGTCTGATCGATGAGAATGTGCATTTTAATCACACGTCACGACTGATCAGCGCTTTGAATAAGGCAAACAAGCCCTATGCATTGCATTTGTTTCCCGAGGAGCGACATTCGTTACGCAATTTAGAATCGAATAAGAACTACGAAACGAAATTATTATCATTCTTACAAAACTTATGAGATTCATAAAACACGCACGCACCCCACACAGCATCCTATTACATGTAATATCGTAATTGTTGTTAAATTAAATCTTTTTTAATTTTATGAAATATTTTAAAAATTTGCAATATAATTAATTAACTGTTGCCCTGCCTCTGTTCAATACTACTCTACTCTCATTGTAAGTAATTTTAATTAATTATTTCTACAAATATTCAATTTTTATTATTATTTTCCTCATACTTTTACACACTACATACTCTTAATTTACAATTAAATTGTGTTCCTATTGCACAACTGTACATTTAAAAAGATAAATCTAAGTCGTAAATCTCTTGTTTTTTTGTTTTAAAAGTGCTCCACTTCTCAATTATCCCATCCCGCACAAACTATTTACAGCTTGTCATGCTGATACCGCAAGCCATTAATTAACGATAGTTGTCTATTTTAACGATATATTTATATATATCTAGAATTGTATATCTGCTTATATTCGATAAACAACTTGCAATATATGTATATTTTAAATGAGTTCAGACCGAATGAAAAAAAAATAAATTAAATTAAATATATAGTAAACCATAATAAATATTTAGCTGAAAAACATCGCTTAAAAACTTTGTGCTTTTCATGTGAAGTATAGTGTAAAACCATAATATTAAATAAAAACAAGTAAGAAGGCTCCAGTCGAGACTGCTCGACTAGGAGATACCCTGAACCCTCCAAGCTGATATTCTAATCAGTCTGGACTTCTTTTATGCACACATACATACACATGCACTTATAAGCACGCGCTCTGCTAACTGCGCAGTAAGCAGCGACTGCGCTTGGGCTGCGCTGCAATGTGGGCAATATTATGACAATTTATTTGTTGAATAATTTCTTTTGTAGACATACAATCTTAATGAAACTTTCAGATGGTTAAAATATGTGTACATTCCCAAGCACAAGTCTCTAGTACTTGAAATGCGTTTTTTACGAAATGGGGGCGAAAAGGGCGTGGTATCCAAAATCTGTAAATTACAAAATGTTTGTGTCCATTAACTCTATATACAACGCAAATTTGAAGTCTCCAGGTTTAAAAGTGTTCAAACTAGGCTAAAAAACCAAGTCGATTTTTCGATTATTCTCGATAAAAAGTTATCGGGTGAGTTATCGAAAAATAAAAGCAAACTCGTACTGCCTATGGTATACACGAGTATGCATGCCAATTCAGCTCTCTAGCTCTTATATCTTCTGAGATCCTTTGCTCATACGGACGGACGGACGGACAGACGGACAGGGCTATATCGACTCAGCTCGTCGTCCTGATCAAGAATATATACTTATGGGGTCTGCGATGATTCCTTCTGCCTGTTACATACTTTTCACAAAACCATTATACCCTGATTTCCCATTTTCAATGGGTTCAGGGTATAATTACCCTAAACTCTGTTGACCCAATAACATATTTCACGATCAACAAAATTCGATTTCCAAAGAATTTACGGCATCTCGCATTTTGAAATAGTTCAAGCTAAAAAGCAGTTCACCCCCTTAAGGGCAATTAAAAGAGAATTAGATTTTTTGTTTTCAAAATAAATAAATTCGTTTATTTTAAAATTGGTTAGTAACTTAAAAATAGTTTAACAATTAACTTAAATTATCCGTCGGGTCTAGAACTAAATGTATCGGTGAAGATTCTTAATCAGTCTGCTAAACTAAAAACTAATATCCAAGTATAGGAGAGCTATGGCTGGGAATGACTTTAGTCGACCTCCTCCACGGTGGGTCCCCTTGTAACCGGCACCACCAAAGCCGCCCGCCTGCTGGCCACAGTTGGCGTTGTTGCTCTGTGGCTGACCTTGTTGGTGCATCTTGGTCATAATTGGGGAACAGTGCTGCGTAAGTTCCTTCAGTTTGTACTCGTACTCGTCCTTGTCGGCTGTGGTGTTGGCGTCCAGCCACTTGACCGTCTCGTCGCACTTCTCGAGTACAGAAGATTTCTCGCTCTCACTGAGCTTGTCGGGGAGTGGCTCGCCCACGGCCTGCTTCACGCCGAACACGTAACTCTCGAGGCTATTGGTGAGCCGAGATGCGTTGGCGCTGCTTTCATCCTCGTCGGCGTAGCGCTCGGCCTCGTTACCATGCGATCGATCTCTGCCTGCGAGAGGCGGCCCTTTGTCGTTCTTGATGGTAATGTTCTTGGCTTTGCCGGTGCTCATCTCTTTGGCTGATACGTTCAGGATACCTGCATTGGCGTCCATGAAGGTGACCTCGATCTGGGGCACGCCGCGCGGTGCTGGCGGAATGCCCGACAAATCGAAGGTGCCAGGCATTGTTGTCTCGCGTAAGGGGCACTCTCGCCCTCGAACACCTGAATGGAGACACCTGGCTGGTTGTCCGAGGTACGTGGAAAAGCTTCGTCTGCTTGCACGGGATGCGTGTTGCGCTCAAATCAGCTTGGTCATCACGCCGCCTGCCGTCTCGATGCCAGCGAAGCCGATGTAACTACGCAGCACGTCCTGGATCATGCCGCTCTGGTCGCCGCTGAGTAGGCTGCTTGGACGGCTGCACCGTAGGCCACCGCCTCGTCGGGGTTGATGGAAAGGTTCAGGCTCTTGCCGCAGAAGAACTGTTGCAGCAAGTTCTGCACCTTTGGAATGCGCGTCGAGCCGCCGACGAGCACAATGTCGGGATCTGCTGTTTATCCATTTTGGCATCGTTCAGCGCCTTCTCCACTGGCGCCAGTGTGTTTGCGGAACAGATCGGCGCACAGCTCCTCGAATCTCGCTCGGCTCACCTTTGTGAGAAGTCGTGGCCCTCAAACAACGCATCCACCTCAATTGTCGCCTCTGTGCTAGACGAGCGTGCGCTTGGCTCGCTCCGCCGCAGTGCGCAGGCGACGCAGAGCAGGTTAGAGCGACAAATCCTTCTTGTACTTTCGCTTGAACTCCTCCGCCAGATGGGGTGACCAGTCTGTTGTCAAAGTCCTCGCCGCCCAAATGTGTCATCACCGGCCGTAGCTCGCACCTCGAACAGCGAACCCTCGTCGATGGTTAAAATGGATACATCAAAGGTGCCGCCACCCAGATCGAAGATGAGCACATTGCGCTCTCCCTTCAGATTCTTGTCGAGGCCATAGGCCAGTGCCGCCGCCGTCGGCTCGTTGATTATCCTCAGCACGTTGAGGCCGGCCTATGGGCCTGCGTCTTTGGTGGCTACGCTGCGAGTCGTTGAAGTAGGCGGGTACTGGATGACTGCGTCTGTGACGGTCTGGCCCAGATACGCCTCGGCTGTCTCCTTCATCTTCGATAGCACCATTGAGCTGATCTCCTCAGGTGCAAAGCGCTTCTGCTCTCCCCTTAAATTCGACGCCAATCTTGGGCCCGCCACCTTCGCTGACTACCTTAAAGGGCGGTGATGTCCTCTACTTTTTTGGATCGTCGTACTAGTGTACCAATCAGACGCTTCCTCGAATACTGGTGTTCTTGGGGTTCATCGCCACCTGGTTCTTGGCCGCGTCACCAATCAGACGCTCCGAATTCAGAAAGCCACATAGCTGGGCGTCGTTCTGTTGCCTTTGGTCATTTGCAATGATCTCCACCTTCGCCATGCTGGGTAGACACCCACGCAGGAATACGTGGTGCCCAAATCAATTCAATAGCTGGCATTCCTGTTTGTTTTGTGTTCTGTGTTCTCCTTTCTTTTCTCTTCTGTCCAACTTAGTTGTTGTGGAAATGGATTTCCACTTTCTCTTTCTTTACTTTTATAACTAACTTTTTCTTTTAACTTCCTTAACCAGATTAATTCGACTTTACTTTGGTTTCAAATTATTCTGTTTGTTGTATTTTTAGCTTGTTCAGCTAGTCGCTTGTTTGTATTTCGCTTCTGTCTTTCGACTTTTCAGTTCACTTGCTTGAATTGAATTGAGCCAAAGAGCGAACTTCTGCCGTATTTATACTCTGGCGCTCTCTGTTCGAAATTTCGCGACGCTCTCCGATCGACTCGAATGTCATTTCCCCTCCGTTGTGTTTGCGAGTGAGTGCGAGAATGAGCGGATTAAGCGCCAACGCATTAACAGAGAGGTGGTTGGAATTGCCTCGAAGGGCCTTAGGGCAGAGAGTAACGGCTGTTTGTGTATAAAAGCTTGACCTACCCCAACAATTGTCATTTCAATTCTAGAAAATTCATTGGTGCTTCAAGTATTCTCATACTTGAAAGGAATGCTGACTTAAATAGGAACTTGAACCGACATCACGTTTCAAAATCGAAGCATATACAGTGGAACTCTGTGTTTGGCAGTCAAACACAGACATATGTATGTTTGTATGTATGTTCATGTGTATATATGTATGTACATATACTCACACATACATACATATGTACATTAGTTATGTACTGTGCACGACATATGTATGTATGGATAGGCCATATAGAAGAATGTAGGTGCATGTATACATACATGTATGTATGTCTACATGAAAATAGCTCTTTTATTATACAATATTTGAAAGTTTTTTATTGGCGGATACAGCCATGCCCTCTCGCCCTAAATTTTTCAATACCAATAATTGCTTAGGCGAATATACACCATTGAACGTTATTATGACGTTCTGGAAAGTTTGATGAAGATATTCGCACTACAAGGAGTTTATTCTACAAATAACTTATTGCTCACACCGCATCCTCAAGCGCAGTCGCCGCTAACTGCCGCAATTAGCAGAACGTCTGTTTATGCTTGCGGGTGGATACATGTGCAGTGTGGGTGCATATTGTGCATAAAGAATGCAGAATGGTTAGTATATCAAACTCTTTGTGTTAATTTAGAGCTGAAGTGGAGGAACTGGAGTGGAATCATTCAATCAATATGCTATTATCCCTAGTCTCTAGTGATGTAATGATGTATGCTTTTCCCTACAATACATATGTATGTTATGCATAATAATAAAGACATTAAACGTGGATATTTGCGGCAGGTGATGCCAAGTTGTCTATTTTAGCATTAAATATACTAAATTTATTGTACCAAATATTTGGTTAAGAACAGTGATAAATCTTTTGGTGCCATTTTGTAATTGTGTTTAATGCGAAAGGAGTATTGCTAAAGATGTGAGGACTTATAGGCAAAAATTTCGGGATTGCTGGCTACAGTAGGCGGAGATTTCAAGTCGTGGATAGCCCTGAGACGAAGACGACAATAATAAGGCGTACTGCAGAATCTGAAAATGTAGTATAAGTGTAAATTTATAACAAAAAATTCGTGTGTCCCCTGTTTTCTGTCATTTTTATACCCCCTGAAGCCATTGAAAATGGAAACCAGGATATAATGGTTTTGTGAAAAAGTATGTA